CAGAAAGTTGTTTCCAAGTTCAAATAGGAATCTGGAAACCAGTCAAGCTCTAAAAGAATGTGAATCATTGCAAAGTCATAAACTGTATTTATGTCCTAGCTGCCCATGTTTTTTGCATTCCCATGCACGTTCAATGGGTTATACTCTTTGTTTAACCTGAGACCAACATTCCTTTTTATGAGCATGCAAATGTCAGTGGGTATGTGTTGTATTTTTTATTTTAGCATTTATAAGTCCTATTTTCTACCATGCAATAAAAAGCCTCTGCACTGCTGTAAAATATAAAAATAATAAAATGCAAAAGCAAACAAGGAAACGCAAACAAATGAAATCAGTAGGAAAAGTTAGTTCTGACTAGCTTAGGTGCTACTGACTGAAGTGAGGTTCAAGCATGGCCCGCTTGGTTCCGCATCAGGTCTCTGTAGTCAAATGCTGAAGTGGGCAGTGCACAACACCAGTCTTGAGACAGCTCACTTGCCCATGCGAGCATCTTGCAGGAGCAAGCCTCTCTTCTCTAGGCTGTGTCTGAGGGAACCGGTATGTCAGATCCCCTGCTTGGTGGGCAGAGACAGCACTCCAAACATGGAGCTGGGAATGGGGGCTCTGATCCTCACCTCCTTGCAGCTGGCCTGGAAAGAGTCACAACAGTTACATCTCCAAAATTGGGAATGGGGGAAAGGGGGTATGTCATTGGGCAGGGAGAGGGGAAGCCAGAGAGGCCAGAATATGTGCGATCCCAGGTCCCCTCCAGCCTTCCTCCTTGCTGCTCCTCCAAAAAGTCTTCCTAGAGAGGCAAATGCCTGCCTAGCAGCAGTAAACAGTGTGAAGACGGGGAGGGGTGTTGCCTGCCGCTCGCTCCTTCTGCCCTGCGTGGGGTGAGTGGAAGCCCTCAAGTCCAGTGGCTTGCTTCGGACCACTCAGGCTGAAGAAATGCCATTTGCACAACGTAAAATCTCATTAGATTTTTGTGACAGTCAACTAAATAACGGGTTCTCGACAAACAGACCTGCAGGTATGAAACATGGTATAATAATGTCAAAATATGTTCTGTTGGAAAATAGCTCATCGTAACCCATAAAAACATCAAACCACAAATCATTTGAAGACAGACATTTGAAAGTGATGCATCTTTGTCACAGAAAAAGCAGAGATTGCTTTGTTTCCCACAAGAAAACAAAGTCAAAATCCGTATGAACCCAATACTTCTGTTAGGCCAACCGAAAACTCACAAAGCAGGGCGGGTGCAAGGGACTGACTGTTTCAGACCTCTTCATTTAGCCAGATGATTTAAAAAAGAGAGTGGGGAAAGGTAGGAAAGGTGGAATTTTATTGAAGGTATGGCATCTGCGTTTCATCACCGGCTTAAGTTGGAAAGTGGAAGGAGGCGGCATGCAGGCTAAAAAGTCTGGAGATTTCCAGCGGCACCTTGGGCTTTGCAGCAGATACAAGTCCACGGCCAGAAAGGAGAGTTAACGGGAGCAGTGATTTGGATGTGCCCCAAAGGTGTGGATAGCCATGCTGTGCGGAACATTTGCTTCCAAATTACCAGGCCTGTTTTTATACACCAGAGGCGTTTTTTTTCTCTGCAGATTTTCAGGGTTTTGATGGGCCACGTATGGCTAGGCATGCACTGAAAAGCCAGTGTGTGGAGGGCTATTGAATTTGTGAAAACGCAAAGATTTGGCTCATCTGACTAAGAGAGGCTGAACTTCCAGCAGCGAGGGCTCTCTGCATTCTGTGCTCCCCAGTGCAAAGGTTTGCTGCGATCATTGTAATGATGTGACCGTGCATTCAGCACTTTGCATGATGAAGTCAAAGCGTCTTGCCATACCATCTTTCTGAAATTCCTGCGCTTAAGTTACTAACAATAGATTCATTAAACAGTGGAATTAAGTGGAAAGGAGCTTTGAGACAGTTATTGAATTTGTGATAATGGAACTAGGAGAGAAGAGAAACAGAATGGATTCTCGTAAACTATGCCTTTTCAACTCCCGAACTATAAATTTCACTAATACTGCTTCTAAATTTTTCTAGTATCTTTTGAATGGAGACTGGAAGTTAAACTTTATTCATTACACAGATGGGGAAATAAATACAGGAACATTCCATTTTAAATTTTTCTTTTATGTTGTAATTTGTACCAAAACACAACCCCATTATTTTTACTTCGCAAAGGCTTGACTGCTGTTGAATTAAAGTATTACTAGTAATTCTAGGTCAATGTAGTTTTAAAGCTTTTAAGGACTATTTCTGTTTTGGTCACATGTACAGAGAGTTCTGATAAAAACCTCCTTTAACAATATACATAACAAAAATACTTGCAGACTGACTCTCAGCTGAATTAATGGCATTTTCTAGCAAGTATTCTCTAACGCAATCTTCAGCCCTGTCAAGCCAAGGACCCACCATTTAACCCCAGCTTGGAACATGGGAGTTGCTTTTAATTTTTAAATTTTCTCTCTGCTTGTCATCTTTCTTTTTCTTTTTCCATTGTGCTTCTCATTAAAACAAATGAAAAATAAGAATGTGGTCCTGCTCTGACTCACACTGAGCAGTGACGAAAGCTGTTCATGCTAAAAGTATGTATGGTGGATGGCAAAGCAAACCCCATGCAATCAGATGGATAAAAATGACTTTTAGTATGGTTATTAAATATGGTTCTTTGTTAAAATCCATTGTAAAGAACTTAAATTATCCTCTTTTTAATTTGGTAAGGTTGCATTCTGAAGTTAATTTTTTGTTTATGTGCTGCTCAGTTTTGGTTAAAAGTGTTGAGAGGTCAAAAATGTAGCTAAAATATAGAGATCAAAAAGTTTTGCTCGGGAAGTTATAAAGTTCTATAGAATGTTAGAGAGAGGGAGAAAACAGGATTTAACTCAGGAAATGAGAACAAGGGGGAGAGAGAAGGAGGGAACAAAGGCAGAGTCCTAGGGGAAAGAAAGAGATCCATCTTTTTAACCATGAGACTTCTGTATCTCACTGGCTTAAGTTTTCACTTGCCAGTTCACATTGCCTGAATTTGTGATGTCAAATGTTGGTTAAATGTTTTGATGATTGTATTAATTTATGTTGGTGAACTCTTTCCTATTGGCAAAACTCCCCATTAAGGATGTGATGTAAGAAGGGCTTTGCATGTGCAGAAGGTCCTAGAAGGTACTAGAAGGTCTCCTATATGCTCCATTTTGATTGGCTACTGGAGGGGTAGGATTGATTGGGTACTGGAGGTACTAAAAGGTCTTCTGTATACTACATTATGATTGGCAGTTGTGCATAGACAGGAATTACCTCATACTTGGCAAAATACCAAGACCTGTGGAGAGACACTCCCAAACATGTGCCTCCTGCTCTGCAGGGTGAGTAATTTTCATGTTTTTCTATTGAATCCTTTCGTTGTATAACTGAGTCTGCCTTTAGTCGAACTTCAGCATCATTGAACCAGGTAAAGAGGTTCCTCCTTTCCAAGGATCTTCTTTTTCCTGACACTTGTTAGCACATTACTTGATACCACGAATGCTTAGGGTTGAGTCTTTTGGACTTATTTCTTAGAACTCTTAAGTGCTCCTTAGAAGTGCTTCAAAAATGGCAATTATCTTTATCTTACCAGATAGAGTAGCACCTTTTGTGGGGATGGTAACTCAGGAACTAGTTCTTTGGAAGGTGATCCTGCTGGTGTGAACAAGCACAGTGGGAACACTCATGGTGGTTTTCTGTGTTTAACTCGCCACCAGTGATACAAGACTGTTTTGACATGGGGCCTCTATGGCCATTTCTTTGCTAACAGTCTAATAAAACGTGGTATTTTGTGATATCTGCATAGGTAGGAATGCAGTTGACATGAAAAGGAGAGTTTCCGGGTGTGGGTCCTTGACCAGGCTGCTTGGGAGGATGCGAAATGCACCCGTCCTGTTCCCTAGGCTTTGCCTCAGGGATGGCGCCTCTCCTGACTGAGGACTTGTGAGAGGGCCTCAGACCTGCTGGCTCTCTGCTGGAAGACACACTTGCACCTGCCCCTTCGTCTTCCAGCAGCACAGCAGTGCTGGACCTGGGCCCAGGGACTCATGTGTGTTGGTGGAGATGGGCTTTCCTTCCCATTTGTGTTCCCGGATGTGAACGTCCACAAGCGGAAGCCTCTGAGGTCACATTCACAGGATTATGGGGTCACTGTTTAGAGAGAGGAAATACTAGGAAGTGGTATGTTTAATAGTCTTGTGTATATAATAATTGTATGGGTGAAAATTCCTGTAGACCAATGTAAAGTGATAAACTCTAGTATATCTAGTGGTACTGTTTCATCTATATAAAGCAGCATTTTACTGGGATGTTTGTATCTTTTAAAATTGTATTTTTATTGTATAACTTTATTTTCAAGCACCAGGAAATAAATCACATTCTTAAGTAAATTTCAGGGTTAAGCATATTTAATTTATTTATTATTAGTATTTATTTAGAGCATTTTATACTGTTAGATTAGGATAATGCTCTTAGAATGGCTCACAAAATGACTAGCCTCTTAATATTTGATTGAAATGAGGCCGCTAAACCAGGCAATAATGCAACCATGCCGTTATCAGCAATGGCACTAACCTAGTGGGTTATAAGCCAGCTTCATGCATCGGGTGTCAACCAATTTTAATAGGTTAATCTCAGTGCCTTTTCCTTTCTGGAACAATATCCCTGGTTACAAAATTTATGGAATTGAATTGTGCTCTATATTCATGAAACACTGGTGGTGTGCAGCAGATTACCAGTTTTACTAGCTTTCTCTCCCCTCAACACACACTAGGAATAAGTTAGACAATGAAATGTCTTATGCATTTTCTCCCCCTATCAACTGAGGTGTTTTAAACTATACGGTACAGTTTTCTATACACATATAAAAGAATGCAAAACACACTCTGCCTAAATTTTAAAGAATGTTTAATACGTTTTTTAAAAATAATGTATAGCTTTTTTTTCTTCCTATGAGGTGCATGAAAATATACCATTCCTTTTTGTTGCAGCAAGAATATCCAAGAAACCAAGGAAGGCTACAATGGACAGGAACAGGTAACACTGAAAAAATGTTCAAAATGGAACCTTAAAAGAAGTAGAGCTACATCATCAGAAATGCTTTGCAAAATTGAGGGCAACGTTTACAGAAGTGTAGGATGCAGGTGCCAAGGAACTCAGGCCCCTCACACTGTCAGTAGGTGTTGGGGGCTCTTCACACAGTGCCTGGGTTCACACTGCGTGGTAAGCCATGGTGGCCCATAAACCAGGGGTGGCTTGTCATGTTGTCTGAACCTGACCAGAGTGACTTGTGCGTGGATCACAAAGCAGGATACTGGGTTCAGACAGCATGGCCAGCGACCACGGCTTACGTTGGGTGAACCCTGATGTCGCATTTATACTGGTACACACCAGAGATGTGCTCCATAGACATCTAAAAATGCAAAGTGTGAATGCGGTAGACTTGCAAACGCGTGCAGTGGAAGTCTGTGTCTACCAGGGAGGCAGGGCTGCTGCAAACCTTGGGACCAATCTTTCAAATTTTATTTTATGAGAAACAGTTCTGGGAAGACACAATTCGGACAGAGGAACACCTGCAGGGAGAGGGCAGGGCACACGTGCTGCCTAAACAGTGCCCGTTTTTTTCCTGTTCCGACTGGACTCTTCATCTAGCTTCTCTTGGAATGAAAATATATTGTTGTCCCTGGGGAAGGAAAGCAGCTTGGGTGAGCAAAATAGCCAGAGAGGAGCAACTGCTGCACCTCCCCCCGCCCCCCCTTGCACACAGTGCTGCTTCTGTGCTATCGGGTGCACGTGGCAGCGTGCCACAGCTCATGCACCCCTTCTGTAAAGTGTGGCCCTTGGTGGTGAACTCAGATTGCTTCACACAGTATGTGAAATGCTCCATATGCTGCAGACGCACCGCCACACAGGAGAAAGTCCCAGGGGGTTCCGTGGGACCTCGTTCTGTGCAGGCAGACCTAAAACCCGCCAACACGACTTTCAGGGGCTTTGGAGAGCCTGCCTCGTCACGTAAGCCCAGTTCTGCCGTAGCTTTCCTCCTTGTACCTGTGACGTGAAGAGCTGTGGGGGTGGCATGCCGATCCCGTTGTGTGTGGAAATGCCTACCCAAGACAGGCCTCTTCCCAAGCATCTCTGCAGCATCGTCCTCCGAAGGAGCCTTCGTGCTCCTGCTCAGGAGGGGCACGCTCATCCCTCGCATCTGCAGCAGACTCACTTTCGCTGTGGTTCAACGCAGTTACTGTGGCGCTGCAGCAGCACAACTCAAAAGGATGCTAAGCCAGGGTTATAGGATGGATCGCCCATTCACTCAGTGCTGTAGGGAGCCGAACAATCCTTTCTTCCCCCACAGGTAACAAAACTGGGTAGCTATCAAGTTATTTTACAATATATCAAAGCGCACATTGTATTTAGTATATTCATAGTAGACACAAGACAACACAGTCCCAACCAATGAGAGACAGAAATGTAAACACACATCCTAATTTGCATCGACTTCATAGGATTACAATAAATCGTTGGGCCATACACCAGAGACGAAGCACCAAGGAACCAAACCAGTATATTTAGGGGCAGACTCAACAGCTGAACCCTAAATGGCTTTGGTCATGTTGAGTATTTTAAAAGCCCTGTGCTTGTAACAGAGAAAAGCAACTGCACTGCTTTCATCCAAGCTGGGTTTGGATGCATATGCATGGAAAACTAGCTGAGTGGGAGACATGGACAGGACAAGTTGTTAGAAATGGGGTTGCTACTGCAGACTTGTCAAAGAGGGAGTTGCTTTTGCAGGAGCTAAATAGGTTTCTTCGCCTTAAAAAAAGCAAAAGCTGGAGAGGGCTTGAGGGGCTGATTAATGGAGCACAGTCAGGAAGACTGAGGCGGCGAGAGGTCATTGCCAAAGGTGTCAGCTGCTGGTACTGAGCTGGTGTCCGAGGAGCTCTCTTCCTCACCCTCTTCCTGCTCCCCTCTGTGTTACAGGCAGCTCGTGTTTGCTTTAGCACCAAGGATGGCAGTGTTGTGTTTGTTAGAAGAGCTCCTGCCAGGCAAAATGCTTCTCGGAAGTGAGCGGCCCTCCGTTGTCAGCTTTAGTTCCTTTGGTCTTCAGCTGAAGCATTCTGGAGTGGCTTGGCCTGGCCCATCCCTTCGCTCTCTCTTCGGCAGCCTTTAAAAAGTCACCGAGTTGCTTTCCAGGCTACAAGCTGCAGGGCCAAGGCTTGAGCCCTCAGCACCACCAGCTACGCATCCCTCCTTAAGGTCTAGCAGTATAGCAGGGCCCTTGAGCCTGGAATCACAGCCAGCTCCGGACGAAGCCGATGCACTTGCTGAGAAACAGTTGGAGTCACTTACAGAGCCCTGGTTTTTAAGGGCAGCGCTGCGCTCTGTGCAGCACATTGTTTATCCCGGGGTGAACAGAAGTGGATTTCTGAGTTGGCATGGGGTTCTGGCTCCCAATTGTTGAACAGCAAATTGTCTTTTCCCCCTGAAACTAGACTGCTGTGATGAAGAAAGTTTGGGGTAATTTGCTGCGGATTTTTATGTGGAAAGAACTGTGTAATTTTTGGGTGAAAAACTTGCCCTATATGTCTACATGTATGGCTTGCACCTACCTTGGGTAGATCTTGGGTTCTGGTAAAAAAAAGAAAATAGGGGTGCCAAGCCTGCAGTCTGCCAATCCCACTTTCCATGATTGGCTGCTGGTGAGAAATGACAACCCTTTCATCTCTCTCCTGGATGGCAAGGAGTCACAGGGCTGGTCTGAATGTGAATTTCCAGACAGCACAGAGGTGCTGCAAATCTGTGGAGTGGAGTTGGAGTGGAGTAGTGGAATTCAGACGGAGAGAGCAGTAAAGCACGGGCTGGCATGGCGCCGTGAGCTCCGTCCTCTTTGGCGATGCCTCCCAGGGATCTCTCTCGGGGAGCCTCCCATCCCACTCACTCCTGCCACACAACCGCAGTGCTCTTCTCCGCTGAGCCACCAGGGCTGCCGTGTTAATGCTTAATGATGGGGAGCTCTACAAATGCCTCGTGTCTGTCTTTAATCTTTTTAGAGCCAATGTTTTATTAACGTGTTCATCACTCCATCGTTCTGCTCTTCAGAGATGAGGCTCCACAAGCTGTCAACAGGAATGCTTGTGAGTACAACAGGAATAATGAACCGTGACAACAGCTAACAGCAATGCAACTCCCACGTTGCAGTCTGTTCATGAGTATGGGAAAGGTGGAGGGAAGGGAGCAAGTCGCGTGGAAAAGGAAGCCAAGAACATGGAAACGATCGCTCAGAGACAGACTTATCCAAAGCTTGCACAGCTAGCAGTAAGGACCAGGGACTGGGAGAACAATTGGGATGCATGGTGGGGAATGTGGACAGGTTCAGTTCCTACTTCTTCCTGTAGAATTTGTGCTGCTCTTCCATAGCGCTGGCTGCTTCTTGACGCTTCCTGTGGCTCTTTGCTCGCTCATCAGTGTGGTAGTACAAGAATTCTTGGCCTTATGTGGGGGAACCCATGACAGTAACATGGATATAAAAAGGGCAAGATGAGCACGCGTCTCCTGCTCTGCCCCTGGACCACAAATAGCTGCTAGTAAAGTTGCCGTAAGAATTCCTGCTCTGAGGAGATGGATGTAGTGAACGGCTGAACTCTCCTGGCCCATTTTCCCTTCCTCCGGCACTGGCATGGAGCCGAGGCACCCTCTTTGCCCCACTGCTCTTCCATGCAGCAAAGCGAGTTGAACAGGAGGTTGGTTCTGCTGTCTGGCAGTAGAGGAGAAGTAGCTTTTTCTGGCACAGGCTGAGTTTCTGAGCTTGAGTTGGTTATGTGGGTCCACCCACCTTCTTCCAATGGCAAAGGTGGCTCCCTGTGTTCTGAAAGCTCCTCAGAAAGTCGTGACTATTAAATGCTCAGGGTAGCATAAAACAGTTTGTATCCAAAGAGTTAATCAAGAAACTATAATAACACTTGAACATATCCCTCCACGCCCCCAATATTTATAGCTGGGTGGGCAATTAATTTGCATAAGCCTGAAGGCTCCAATCCAAGGCTGCATATTGACAGCCTCTGTTGGAGACAGAGTAGCACCAGTGAGGTGTATGAGAGAGTGGCGAGACGGAGGAGGACAAGGTGGAAGTCCATCAGCTGCCTGAGGGGCAGCAAATCAGGCCGGAGGAGGAGGGCATGTGCGTGGCCTGCAGCTGGGCCTGGGCAACAGAGCTTGCATGCTGGTCACCAGAGCATGGCATGAACCGCGAATTTGCCTTTGTGCACCATCATGGATTTCGTAGTGTGATGCTTTTTTCAAGAATCGATTGCTTACAACACAACCTGGCTGGCGCCTCTTACCAGCATTCATGTCTTCATGCCCCGCTTGGTTATTTTTGCTCACGGTGCTTGAGCTCGCTAGCACAGAGCTGACCCAGCATCCCTCCCCAAGAAGCAAGGTCAGAACATTCCTTATTTGGAAGGAGATAATATTGTAGGGTACTTTGGCCCCTCTGTAACAGATCTATCTCCCTCTGTAACAGATTTACAACAGACCTGTGCATATATTACAATCTGAAAATATGACATGCATAGCCTGACTTAAATTTCCTTCAGGTTATTAACACAGGGAAGAGAGAATCAAATTTGATTGTCTATGTGAATTCTAATCTTTGTTAGTGACAAAATTATGTAAACTTCTTAACTCTTCCTAAGATCTTTTGATTTAGTTCTTAAAACACTAGTTACGAGCTCAAAAAAGCAACTGAAACGAGTCTACACAATGGATTTTTCCTGTGCCTGGTGAGCCCATCTTATGTGGGTGTGGAATTATCACCGAGCAAATCAATGAAATAATAGTGTATCGGTGACAAGGAGCTGACAGCTCTTTATGGGACTTCAAGCCTGGAAATGAATGATGCAGGGTAAGTTGAAACAGGAATGACATTTGAAAGAAAACCCAAAAGGCAATAAAAGAAAAACTATTTGCTTCTTGTTTACTGAAGAGGAGCTCTATCTGAAGCAATTATTTGTGTCCCAATGGCCTAAATTTCTCCCCAAGAAATAATATTCCATTTTTCCTCTTGAACACATGGTCCCCTGGAATACAGAGCAGGAAAACACTTCCCTGCTTCTGTAGGCAGCTGCTAGACTATCTTGATTTAGAAAGCTCATTGTATAGCTATATATTTATATATTTTGTATATAAATTTCTGCATATTCTTGTCATTTATTTCCCACTACTCATTTCCTCTGTAAGACAGAATCCCGTTTCTACTTATATTCCTAAAACTTCAGCCCAGGTAAGTCCTGCTTTTCATACCTGACCTGACTTCAGAGAGCATGACACTGAAACGGCTTCTTGAACCAGAAAGCATTCCCAACGACCTCCCGTGCTGAGGTGAGAGCTGAAGAGTTCAGAAGCAGGCACCGTGAGCCCTCAGGTGGCTCGCCGCGTATAAGGGCAAACCACAGGAACGTGATGCGTCCACGTCACTCCACTTCCTTTGCGCCCATCTTAACAACTAAGTTGACTTGCTGGGTTTTTCCTGGAATTTGCTAGCTTCATGGGGCTGGAAAACATCTGCTTGAGAGCAGCCTAGAAGACTTCTTCTGTTTAAAACCAGCCTCTTCACGCATGCCACAATCTGTACAAAAGGAGCAATTGCTTCTTTCTTACCTGTCTTGTTACTTAGAACACGCTTTTGTTTAAGCAAGTCTGAGTTCCTTGACTTTTCCTTTTGGATGATGGTGACAAATGAGGGTGATTTCACAAAATTTCCAGAGAGGGTTATACACAGTTTATTTTACATAGAAAAAAATTATGGTTGAGCATGAAGTAGTGTCCTCTTTCATCTTGTAGAGGTGAGCCGGGGCTGATGGACTCTGAATATGTTTTATGCACAGTAGGTATCTGCCTTGACGACCTGACAGTACATGGTCATTGCAAATGTCAGTCCAAGAATCTAGAGATACAGAAAGCAGAGTCCGAATTAAACTAGAGTTTATTCTTGCGTAGTTCTCTCTCACGCTCTTGCTCTCTCGCTCTCTCTCACACACACACACCCACACCTCAATCCCTTGATGCTTCAGGCTTTCTCAAGCAGGCTATATTAGCTATTCTCAGGTAATCCTCTGCTTATATTAAACTGTGACGTCTCACCTTTGCATATCTGGTCCCAAGTCTAACAACAATCAGCCACACTGGAATGCAACTGAAATCACTGAGCTCAGCTAACCTTAGACTGTGGTTCTGACCTTGAACCTAAGGCCGGGCACAAGCCAGGGGTCTCTCCCTTTCCTTGGAATTAGTTCAGCAACCCGCTGATTGAGCTTCATAAAGGCCAACACAAGCTGCAGTATTGTTCTAGGAATTCCTTTATCTCACATTGAGTAATCCTATTAAGTTCTGAGTGTAATAATAAGCATAACCAAAAGTGAGCCCCCGTGGACTCAGTGGGAGTCGCTTTTGAGTAGACATGTACAAAATTGTGCTGTTAATATCAGGCTAAGTTCGTGTGAGAAGAGACAGTAAAGCTCAGATATATTTAAACTCTCCACTGCTACCTAATAAACAGAAAGTACAGAACCAATAAGAGAAAACTGTACCTGAACCAAAGCTGTACATAATCCAAAAATTCCCACCGCTAACAGGTTTTCCTGGAGCCATATTTTTACTGTTTCATAACAAGGCTTTAAGAGAGAGAGGGGGAGGGAGAAAGAAATTTTATTTAGCCAAGAACACTTGGGTGTGTTGGATGTCCAAAGGGCCAGTAGAAATGGCAAATCTGCTCAAGCTGGCTAATCAGAGGTGTCAATGTCACTATTCTCCCAGAGGTGCAAAATGCCCTGGTGGGCACGCTCACAAAAAAGCACAGCTTTAGTGGCTCAGAGAGCCTGCACATCTCAAGGTCAAGTGGATGGAGGATGCAGTATGCAAGATGCAATAACCAAAAAGAATTTGGAGGGTCTCTCATTCCTCCTCCTCTGATGATGTGCTTGCTCTGCTGTTAATATATCAAACCTGCATAGTGACAGTCTCCTTGTAGGATTTGTTGAGCCAGCACATAAAGAAAATAGTTATTTATCTGCCATGCCTGTAACAGTCAGATTTTCTTTTCACCTTGAAAAGCTCTTGTGACATAAGTTGAGCAAGGCAGTAGCTGGCAGCTTAAGATCACCGAATGAGCCTCCTGGTTGCTCCCAAATCCAATGCTCTAGCCACACGCTGGACATGCCAGCCGCTTGCACTCCCAGAAGGTAATGGGATGTGCAGGCATATTTTCCAGGGAAAGCAACTAAGTGGAATTGTGGTGCATGTAATGGCTCTGCAGCGGCCCCGGTCAGCTGGGAGAACTGGCTGGCAACTAGCATGGGCTCTCTCCCATCCCTGGATGGGAGGCCCTGGCTGTGCACTCTCTTCCGCATTACGAGGCCTTTGCATACAGCCCCACGTGTCACCATCTCGGCTTGGCAGTTGTTTCGTATGCTAGATATTGGGGGGTCATCTGTGCATGCGCAAGTGGTTGCTTGGTGGGATACAGAATTATGTAGACAGGACGCCCCCATCCACAGACCTCTCTGACCCTCAAAACTTGCTCTGGAGGGTTGGGGACCCCCCAGAACCACCCGTGAGGTGGCACTGGGAGCTGTAAGAAGGGGAATCCAGGGGAAACCCGCCCTGCTTCCTGCCCTGCCCCCTCCTCCTGTGCACGGCCTGCATGAAAGGGCAGCTCTGGATCCAGCCCTCTACAACTGGGATGACTTTTGTGATACGGGTGCCAGCATCTGGAAACCAGGGTTTGCAGTGATGGCAAGAACCAGCCCAAGCATCAGACAAGCTGTTACACAAATGTAGGTTACCACGAAGAGCAGTAAAACATAGGAAAAAAATGGCTGCTTAAGTCCAGACTGGGGAGGGGAGGGGAGGGGACGGCACTGGGGGTGCACCTGCCGTCTCAGAGCACACGCTCAACTTGGTATTAGTTTGAGAGAGATGTAAACAATTTTACAGATGTCTGTATAGTCCGTTGTTATCACAGATGAAATCAAGGAAATGGCAAGGTCACCATGAGGTGGGAAGAGAAATGTTATTAGCCCACTGTCCTGGCCTTAGCTTACACTTGTGTGCCCATTCTGTGTTTTGCTCGCTCTCCACCCTTTGAAGGTCATTTGCTAGTCAAGCAATCGTACAAATCTGCCACAGATGTCTCAGCACTCTTTTCTGAGAGATGCTAGATCCCACCTCAAGATGAAAGGACAAGCATCTAGCTGCTCCGCAAGGTTACAGCCTTCCCCTTCCCTCCTGGGAGACCCATTTTGGTTGTGCATCTACTCACAGCTTTCCACCAGGTCCCTGGTGAATGAAGACCACAATTCTCACTGAACTCCAAGCAGCAGGAATCGGGCACCCGTGTGGTGTTGTACACGTCAAACCAGTCAGTGTAGTTTGACACGCCGCAGCATCTGAACTGGAAAGGGAAGGGGCGAAACCAGAAAGACAGTAAAAAGTCACAAGGGCCTAAAGGCTACGGGGGGGGGGGGGGCAGGTTAGTCTGGCCCATCAGTGCGAGCTAGTGAATTCCAACAGGTGCTTCTCTTGGATTCACCATTCATACAGTATTCCGCTGCAAGCATCTGGTAAGGTTAGTTACTCAGCCTAGTAAGTTCATTCATTTCCAATTAAAATACGGGCCTCCTTTAGCTTCGCAAAGTTTGTGCAGGTCTCCCAAATGTCCCTCAGGGCTGCATCATGAGCCCCCCGGTAGCAGCCCAGCAGCTCTGGAAGTGATTGCCTGAGGGCATGAACCACCCAAGGGCCACTGGGATATTTTGAATGGCTCCTGGTCCCTCCACTGGGGCTGGAGCTTCCAGGAGGGAAACAGTTGAGCCATGTAGGGGAGTCTATCATACGCTTTGCATGCCGATCACACAATCCTTCCTTTGCTCCAACGCAAAACCTGAGCAACCTCATTGAGAGTGTGTGTTTGAACACCAAATATAAAGAGGACTAAGCAAGGAAAAATCCAGAAAAAATTAATACCCATGACTCAGCAAATTGCCATCAAGTGCTGGATTGCCAGCATTGCAGAGAACAATGATTTTATTCTTCAAGTATGCTATTACCGCCAGGAAAAATGAACAGCAAATGAAATGGTTACAGCAGTGCAATATATTTTATTATATTTTTGTAAAGTTGAGTGGCTTCAGAGTCACATATGCTCTGCTTTGAAATTATCTCTGACATTTAGTAATATAGATATTCATGATCCTGGAGCTGAGATTGCAGGCAGCAAACTTTTTTGAGTAGCATACACTAAACTTTGATTTGTATCTCTTTCATCGTACCTACTCAGCATGCGGATGGGAATTTTTTGCTTCGGGTAGGTGAGTGATTTATAGTTCTGGTTACCAGGGAAATATTTGCCGGAAGAGTTCAGAATTCTCTCCCACTCTGCAAGCCTGAATATGCCCTGTGCCGTGGCGGCTGGGTCAGCCAAAGCCATTCATGGCTCTCCAGCATCCCAAGCTTGGGTCCAAACAGCCTTCATCTAATTAGCAACATCCACTGCATTTGCTTTGCTTTGCTTTGCTTTGCTTTGCTTTGCTTTGCTTTGCTGGGCTGCTCCCCAGTTTTGCTACTGCAAGGCCTATAGCAGGAACCTTCAGCTAACTAGGCATCTGTGAATTTACTTAAATCTGCCAAATTACCATTGCTGTATTCCCAGCAGTTCAGCATTCCTCTGTCATTAAGACAGAAGATGCATTATCGGTTTTTGTATAATTGGTTTATTATTATTTTGAAACAATTGTCTTCTTGACACTAGGGGGAAAACCTCTTACTCAACATGACATTGCCCTTCCCAATGACAGATGAGGACTCGGGAGACAGCCACAAGGAGGGCCGTGTCTCTGATGCAACTCCCAAACAAGTGGCTGCGTGGAAAACCTTGCTGCTTCCTCTGTCAAAGGCACAGCAGGTTGAGAAAAGGGATGCTGCCGTGGTTCTGCCATTTGTTAAGCTTCGAATGCAAATGCTGCCAGTTCTAATGAGTGAACATTACAGCCCTCATGCAAGTTCCCCTTCAGCTCAGAATTCTAATCCAAGTCAGAATCCAGCTGCTCCCCCGGCTGATGTACTCGATGCTCCGGCTGTTCCCACACCGTTCCAGTTTCCATACAGCCATGGCAGCAGGAGCCCCGGGGCGTTTGAGGATTTCTGATGGATGCCAGAGGAGAGAGGCTCTGAAGCTAGGGAGGCTGTTGGAGGACCAGGAAGGAGGGGATGAGATGCCTTGAAGGTTCATAGGGGCTGCAGGGATTTGATTTGACCCAGAAGAGGCCATGCTATTTCCAAGTGGGACGAGGGGCAGGTGAGACTCTGCCCATCATTACTTGTGAGGTCCCAATTCTAAATTAAATAAAAAAAACTTAGTTGAAGACATCTTCTCAGAATGCATCCTGACAATTCAAGCATTTGCATCTTGGTGCCATCTGGTGGATCAAGAAATGGAAAACCGGTGACTTACATTCCCTCTACCTTTGATCAGAATTGTCTGAAACCCCTTTGGTCATGCAGGGTGGGGGCACGGCAGGGAGAAAGCAACTGCTGGACACACAAGCATTTGGTCCCTGCAGAATTCCTCTTCCAGCAAGGTGTTTAGGAAAACTAGGAACAAAGGCAATGTGTGTCTGGGAGGAGGGGCCAATGTGTTCCTAAGTGGATGCACAGTGGCCCCTTCTCTCCAGTGACCGTGAGGCTTGGTGCTGTATCTTCTTCTAACCACAAAATGTTCTCTCTCAAAAGGCTGGAAAATCCGGATGTTTATTTTCTAGCATGTGTAGTATTAAATGGGACCGCAGGTGGCGCAGTGGTTTAAACCTCTGTGCTGCTGGGCTGGTTGATTGAAAGGTCGCCGGTTCGAATCTGCACAACGGGGTGAGTTCCCGTTGCTCCATCCCAGCTCCTGCCAACCTTGCAGTTCGAAAGCATGCAAAAAATGCAAGTAGACAAGAAGGTACCACTTCATTGGGCAGATAATAGCGCTCCGTGCACTTCGTTGTTTAGTCATGCCGGCCACATGACCACAGAGACTGTCTGCGGACAAACGCTGGCTCCCTCGGCTAGGAAACGGAGATGAGCACCGCCCCCTAGAGTCAGGCATGACTGGATGTAACCTCAAGGGGAAACCTTTACCCTTTCCCTTTATAGTATTAAATAGTTCCTCTCAAAATCCACATGATGAAACCACTGTATGAATAAAGGGAGATCAATACAATCCACAATATTTTGAAACTGGGTTCCCATTTGTTTGTTTTGTTTTAATTTAGTTGCTGCAAAAAATTAATTTATTATGGCCATCTTTTAAGGTCTTCCATATTCCATTTTTCTTGTGGTACATACTGAATACATTATTGAATTATCTACAGACTTTCCTAAAATTGAATTATGTGCACTCTGCAGTACCCCCTTCCGTTCATAAAATGAATGCCATCCTCTAATTGTATAAAGCAGCAAGTCAATGCTGTTTAAAACTGGGGATACAAATGTGCAAAAGGCATTTTGGCAGCCTATGCAGCCAGTGGGAAAATGAGAAACCTCTGCTATTGTGCGCAGTACAAAAGGAATATTTCAGCACAAGGATTCCAGTAATTAATTGTACTAAATCTGTAGCAATTACAAATTTCAAGGGAGGGCACAGAATAATTCAGGCAGCCAAAAAGTGCAGTGCATATCAACAGGAGTATTTTACGGATTGATTGACCAATGTTATCTAGAGAGAAAGATGTGCTTATGCAAAAGGGAGACTAAAAAAGAAACCATGAGTAGGAGAGTGCACGCACAATTGTGATTTCCTCATTTTGAACAATGTATAGCTGCCTGTCCTCAAGATGTTTAGAGGCAATCCTGAAAAACTGTTCCACATATCGGTATGTTACAAAAACGCCACCCTCGTCTGGAGCTTCGTAGTGGGAGACTTTGCAATTGCTGAGTGGAAATACCGCTGCCTTGGAGTGCTGTTCAGCACAGAGCATGTAAGGTGTAGGTAGAATAGCTAGAACTGATGCTCCCAGTCCACGTGGGCACTGAAGGGGAAGGAGAACCTTATCGCGCCCCTCCGTACTCCTCAGAGAAGAGCCGTGCTGGAGCAGGGTCACAGGGCCGTCTTGTCCAGCAAGCTGCGCACACGGCCAGGCAGCTGCTCACAGGATGCTCACAAGTAGGACAGGGCTGCTACAGCAGCCTCCTGTCCAAGCTCCTCCGGAGCTGATGCACCCAAACCTTCAGGGCACGTCCAGGGCCCAGTGCTGATCTCACAAGCAATAGGTGGCTGCAACTTGACCTCTTAGTCAGCTTTATGGATGGTTTTCAGTATTATACCTGAGCTTGTTTTCCCTGGCTGTGATCACATTTTTGTATGACAAACGAGGCCTGCGAATCACCCCTTTTTATTATGCCACAATTCAAAGTCACACGAGTAGCTAAGAGAAAAATCCCAACCAAGAGGCCACAAAGTTGAACAGGCATTCACCGTTTTTATATGGTTCAGTCTGGCCTGTATCATTATGAAATGAATAAAGAACATCACAATTTGGTACGATACTATTTGAATGGCTCTTGGGCTGCAAACATGATCATGTACCACAAAAATCAATTAGGAACCGGTGAGCTTCTTCAAATAAGATTTAAAATGGATTTGGGCTAACCTGGATTGAGCTTTATTTAGTCTCATTCTGAGCTTCCCAAGCTTCTTGTGAGCCTAGGTCCTCTTTCCCTTTCTCAAAGGTTAGCCAGTGGGTCTATAGCAAGGAGTTTGACCATGGCAGGACAGGGCTTCGACTCCTCAGGTCTCAGGATCGTAGAGGCCTCAAGATCCTAAAGGCTCTGCCACCCACGGTACTAATGTGCATATTACAACTCCCAGGAATAATGGCCATCCATTGAAGACCATGGCAGCAGTAGGTTTCATTGCCACAGCCTGATAAGAAACAAACCACCCAGCATTGGGAAGGGCTTGTGCTGGGAATTATGAGCTGCAAGCAACCTTCAAAGTTGTTTGTCTCAGTTCCTAATTAGCCTGTTTGGGGAAATTCATACTTTGAAATCCCTACTTGGAGAGTTAGGTTTCACTACCACAATTTGTAGGACTTGATGTAAATGTGGTTAGTGTGCAAAGAGTAGGCTAAATGAATATAAATACAAAGAAAGGTGAAATATTTTCTTCCTTTGTCCTGTAGCGTATGGAAAGGTGCCTCAGGTACAGAGGAGAAGCAGCAAAAGCAGAAAAATTAAAAAGTTCAGCTGTATGAAAATGCAGGAACTTACTGAATGATTAATTTCCTAGGACAGCTTTCCATTGTCCTCAAATAATAATAGAAATGTGTCACTCCCGTGCATTATAATGACTTACTGGGAGAGGGACTTTGGGTCCACTCTAATGGATTTTCACTTTCCATACTACTAAAAATAAGTGCCTTTAGTTTATCTTTTTGCATGATTCAGAACAGCATGCAGATGAAATTAAGCCCAGAGCAACAAATGAATCCCCTATAGATTTCAGAAAAGCCAAGGGAAAGGGTTGTTAAAATAGATAAATAGGATGGTCCGTAAGTAAGGTACACTATTAAGTATTTGGACTTTTCAGGAACCCAAGGACAGATGCAGTAGAATCCAGAATGAAATCTGCATTGTGTGGGAAATGTCTAGCCAGGCAGAGGTATGCGCATGGATGGATAAAGATGAACAAGAAAATGTAAGCTTACATCTGTTTGTATGATGCTCCATGCATTAGTTAGGCCAATATTTCCATCAGTTCCATACAAATGAAGCCCTTTCTTCAGGTCACGCTGAGCATACTTATCAATCTGAAAACAAAGCAGATAGAGTCGCATGTAAGGATGCAGGCCTTTGTAATCTCCAAAATGACACTTTCCAGCAGAGTTTCCCTTGGGAAGGCATCTGATGAGAGCACTGAAAGAGAGATGCTGCTGCTTATAAATTTTGGCTGATAAAGAAAACAAGGTGTCTGTGTGTCATGTTTTCTGATTCTTTTGAACTATATAGTTCAATATCAAAAAGTGTACCTGATATGAAAGTGACATCACCGTATTGAGTGAAAAAGCCTTGTTAATTTTTAAAGCATCATAATGCATTTATAACAACCATAAGTGTGACCGCAGTTGGCATAATCACTGCACCTCAGACTAGGGCAACCAAAATGATCCAACACATCCCCAGAAAAAACGATGATGTGTGGGGTTTTTTAACAGGAAGCAGTGCCTAAGCAGGAACATGATATACAGGTGTATACAATTCTGCATTTCATTCTCAGTTTCTCATAATTCCAGAACTTGGTGTCTTCTAACGAACCTAAATGTGGGGAGATGTAGAAAAGAGAAAGGAAGCTGCTGCGATGGCTGTTAACATGGACAACTTTATAAGCGGATTAGACAAATGTGAGGATGATAATGCCGTTAATTGCTACCAATTATGATAACCATTAATTATTCCCAGTATCAGAGGCAACATCTCTTCCAGCACTAGTTGCAGGAGGACAGGACTGGAAACTTTTTCTGGTGGCCTCTGCTTGTGGCTTTCCCTCTTGGGCATCTGGTCAGCTACCAAGGAAACAATACTGGTCTGATCCAGGGAGGAAGACTCTTATATGCTTAAGGGGGCAATCTCATGCATATTTAGATGGGGGGGAAACCCTAAAACTCCCAGCATGCTCCATGGCTGGCTAGAGAATGGTGACAGTTGTACAGATCTTTTTCTCTATTGAAACATGTAGGATTGCACCTGTTGTTGGTTTCAGTAGCTAATACTTCTTTAACAAGTTCATGCACTACAATGATTTTGAAACACTGTCTCTATGTCTTAGGTGTGTGTATGTGTGTGGGGGAGGTGTTCTGTTGTGTTTTAAGGAGAATATGAAGGGATTATTATTATTATTATTATTATTATTATTATTATTATTATTATTATTATAACATTTCTATGCCGCCCCTTGCCGAAACCTCGGGGCGGCTTACAACATGATAAAATACATTGAAATACAATAGTACATAATAAATTACCATTAAATATAAAAATACAAAAAATACATTGATTTACAAATATAAAATTAAAATTATCAGTATAAAATAAAAATATAGGGGGAGAAAGAGAAGGAAGAAGAAGTTGCCCTGGCCAGATCATATGTTTTAACAATTGAAATGATGTTTAAATAAAAAGGTCTTTACCTGGCGCCGAAAAACCAGTAACGACGGTGCCAGGCGGACCTCTTTGGGGAGTGAATTCCATAGGTTGGGCGCCACCGTAGAGAAAGCCCTCCTCCGGGTACTTACTCTCCTAATTTCTTTCATGGAGGGTTCCCGGAGAAGGGACTCTCCCGCAGATCTCAAAGGGCGGTCGGGCATATACGGACGTAAGCGCTCGTTCAGGTAGCCAGGACCCAAGCCGTTTAGGGCTTTATAGGCCATAATCAACACCTTGAATTGGGCCCGGGCTTCAATGGGAAGCCAGTGAAGCTGACGGAGGACTGGAGTCATGTGAGCATAACGCCCCATCCCCGTCAGCAACCTGGCAGCTCTATTTTGCACCAATTGAAGTGTTCGGACTGTCTTCAGGGGAAGCCCCACGTAAAGCGCGTTACAGAAGTCTAGGCGGGATGATTCCAGCCTGGTCCATTGGTGCAGCTCTGTTCTCTTTAGAATTAAACTTATCTCTTGATGGAAATATAACGATTGTTTGATTTGCTTGCTCGTGTGTGGCCAAGGCAAATGGAAATCCTTTTGATTTTTGCTATGCAGAAAATAAAGAGAAAAGGCTTCAAAGTGAAGGTGCATGGAGCAACTCAATATTGGAAGAGGATTATCAGTACCGTAGACTGGAACAGATGTCATTTTAGCAGCATATATCCAGGAGTGGTTGCCCTTGACAAAAAAGAATGTCTTAATAAAAGAAAAAGTTCTGATTTTGGGTTCTTTTAATCTGAAGTTTTATTTAAGGCTGAGCTGAAATGCAGGTGTGACTTTTCATAAGCATTTTGACCCTATAGAAAGCAGCATCCTTCAACAATTTGTGGGAGGGAATCTTTGGGCATGCCCATTTCTTTATGTATCTACTATTTTTTAATCCTTCAGGGAACTCAAGGTGGTTTACATAATCCTCTTTCTCTTCTTAAATCTTATCCATTCAAGGTAAGGCAACATTTCCAGCCTTTTGAATTGCTTTTATGACACCAAAGGGCAAAACTGAATTACCTACAGTAGTGTTCATTAAAGTAAATTCAGAGTTGGGACAGAAGCCTTGTCCTCACTCTTCATCCACTCAGTGAAATCAAACCAAAGCAGCTTTGTAATCAGATTCTATTATTACACTAAGTGCGAGGTGCCTGATTGGCTTGGATGGTGTAGCAAAAGAGGTGGAGGATCTGGAAAGAATGGGAGCAAAATAGCTGCAAACAGGATTGAAAGAGAATTTTCAAGGGTAGTTTCAGGGAGCTCTCCCCTCCTCAGCACAGCAGAAAACGGCAGGAGGGGAAGCAGTCTGAAGCCTTTCTCCCCACACAATCCTTCTGTTTCAATTAACAGGATCATTATCTCAATTGTGTTAGAAGAAAATTGGAGAACTATGCAACTATATAAGCCAAGGGGCTAATGTTACATATTGAGTGTTTTTAGCAGTAGTCTTATCCAGTCATTGCAAATTACCTGAGGAGGAGGAGGAGCTGGTTCCAGTCTCCAACATTCCCATGATGACAGACTCTGCCCCTGATCTAGCAGCAGGGAATGGGATGGTCTGAAAGGGGATTCCACATGCATTCTGTGGAAACTGCTCAGAACCCACCCCACAAATGGAAAGCACAGGAAGAGCGGCAGTGGAGCTGCCGGTGCGTGTGGGGCTTCTGCAGGTGAGGCTGGCCTCTGATGGAAGTTTGTAACTCCAGAATGGATGTGTTATCTTATACTTAATTAGAGCAGGAAACAAGAATAAGACTCTTCCCTATGCAGTGCAGGTGGATCTGCACTAGCATTATTTAGGAAAGGAGTTAATTGGTGAGAAAGAACATCTCATCTGGAAAATGAACAAATACACAAATGCACTTGTTCAAAAATGCACATTTGAGTACTTGTGCAAATGAACATTGGCACAAATCATCCCAAAATGTGCTTTTTCACTCTACCCCATTTTTATTTGGGGGGGGATGTATATCTTACAATGGAGAAAACTTGAGCACTTTTAAAGACTTTCCCATTCAGGAATGCAAATGAGGCAGAACAAGTCTGAGGAAGAATTTGGAGAACCACCACAAACTCAACCACTGCATGTACACCCATTCCTAGGAAGATGGGTTGTGTGTGTCTGCACGTGCAACAGCCATGAAATTGTAGACATCTGATAAGCAAGATGTGCTATCTTAGAAATGGTTTAAAATGCTTGGGAAAGCTGAACATTGCATCGGCTTTACAGGCATCGACAGAATAATGCTGGAACAGGGCCGTTTAGGCTGAAAAACAGGAATGTGTCTAAGCAGCAAACTTAGGGAAATGCAAAATGCCCAAGTTGCTTTTCTTCGGCCAGTTCTGCAAGGCATGTCATAAAGTCACACTGCATGATAATCTCTCTGACTAGGATACAGATGTTGCCCTACTTAATGTAATCGTCATGCCCTGTTTCAGATCAATAATTTTTAATAACCCCAAGTCAACATTTATAAAATGCCTGAAGGTTCAGGGGAATATTTTGTTAGCTCAGTTGTGCCTTAACACATATTCTCATTTTTATCATAATAGGCTGCTTAACCATGCATTCCTGCTCAACACTGTACCATGCAAGGCAATCACTAATGCACAACTTGTATAAATACAAATCAAGAGCAGCAGGTGAGAGCATCTGCCAGTCCATCAGCTTTCCAGGGACATCAGCCTGAAGGCCATCTACAGTTAATCTAATTGACAGTGGATCATTTATGGGCATAGCCAGTTCTAGGCAAGAATTTCTGCATGCAGCGACTACATTGGAAAACTCTCGTCTGGAATCCAGAGAATGATAAATGTGCTAATATGAGCAACACATGTTCCGAACTCCACAATTTCAGGGCATTCGCATTCACTGCCATGTTGAGAGAAAATGTGTGCAAATTTCCACTGCATGCGCAGATGAGCCCCCACAGTTCAGAATTCAGGAACACATGCTCACCCCACATGTACATTGGAGCACTTGTAAGTAATCAGATCGTGGTCAAAGTGTATCTGTGGCATTCCTGCAAGCAGTGAGAAATGCAGCACCCTAATGGAGAGCATATTGCATGGGCTTGTGGGGCACAAGCCTTGTTTCAGGCCCAGCGCACCCCACTGAATTAAGGAATGCCCCCCAGCATCCATCGCAGGTGGCTCAGGTGTACGCCTTCCAGGCAAGGCTGGCTCCACTCCTGGGTGAGGAGTGTCTCTGGTGCCCCCACAGGCAGGTTTTTCAGGGCCAGCCGGAGCGTTTGCGGGGCTTGGTGCAGGAGGGATGTTGGGAGCTCTGCTGCCACCCCCTACAAGGACCCTTGCATATGTTTGCAAGACTGCGGCAACGCACCAGAAACACTGCATGCGTGGACTCCACCTGACACGTCCCACCGGCAGCTCCGGCTTGCCCTGAGATGCAGCAGAACAATGGATGTGCTTGGCCTTCCCTTGCCTGGGGGTAGGCAATGGCCGTGCTTCTCCTCCACACGCCAGGCCCTGCTGGTGTGGCTTCTTCGTGCCACCCAGGGCTGGGTCATTGCTCGAGCCGTCATGTCTCAGCCCTGCACCAGCGCTGGCCCAAGCAGGAGCTCAGGGGCCACATCCTGAGCAGGGACAGGGCGCGATGCAGTGCACCAGCACCGGTTTTGCTCCACACATTTTTTTCTTGTGTAGCACCTTCTATCTTCTGGTAAGCAGTCGGTATTTTCAAATGCCCATTTTAAAACTTTAAAATAATAATAAAGTATCCAGCTGACCTCTCACGGTCTGGCAATATTATTATCATTATTTATGTAAGTGCTTATTGTATTCACAGCATTTGAATGTTGAATGCTGTGCCTGAAAACAAAGTGGTTTTTTTATGTAGTACAAATGATAGCAACATGAAATTAAAAAAGAAATGTACTTTGAACCTAGCTGAAGGAAAATCATCTTTGCAGTTCGTACTCAAATAACCTTTGGGACATTAAGAAATGGTTACAGACACATAACTTTTGCCACCCTTGCTTACTGCAGACAGTATACCCAAAAAGCACAGTCTCTGAGGTCAGCTTGGGTGCCCCCCAGTTTTTGCCCTGGGCAACAACCCCCCTCACCTAGACCTGCTCTGGTAGGCAGACTACCAAGTATCAAGAAACAGAGGAGTTATTTGGTCTGGAAACCAGCATATAATCTGACACCACAATCCGCAACTGGAAAGGCAGGCAAGCAGGCACCTAAAGCTCTGCCTGGCTCAAGCTGCCAAGGCAGGAGTGGGGGAGGGGGAGCATTTGCCCCCCTTTCATCCAATTTTTGTAAAGCATTTTAACCTTTCCCTCCCATTGCAACCAATGGAAGGGAATCATCTATGCCATCTCCAGGGCTGGCACACGGTTCTTCCCAGGAGAACTTTGAGACCTGCCAATCTGAAGCTGCCTCTGATCTGCCCAGGCCATGTCCTGATCCGCCTCTTCTTTTAATTCTCCTGGCACCAGAGGTCTAGCATAGAGGTGGAGGATGCAGACGTTTTGATGGGGGCTGGAAGAAGGTTGGCGTCTTCCAAGTTGAAGCCCCCCTCCGGAGGCTGGATTTCTTTCCACCCTGGAGAAAGAGATCCAAACAACTCTGAGTACTTATAGAGTTGCAGCCCTAGCCTAGAAAAGAGTGTGTGTGTGTGTGTGTGGTGTATATTTGTTTTTCTTTAAGAAAGAAACAGTAGTTACAGCAGTTAGGGGACTAATATGTGGCATGTACTGAGTTATGTGCATTTCTCCCCAAGAATGCAGCTGTGAGGGTTGCAGTCTGTTTTAGAAGAACCAAACAGGAAAGTTTTTTTTAAAAAAACTTCTTCAGCATCTTGTTTTTGCTGAAAATTATCCTTACCTCCTCTTCCCTCACTGAAAGAAAGGATGTGAGTATCTTCCTTGAAGGAAAATGCAGTTGAGGGGCAATTTTCAGCAGAAAAATTGCCAAGGCAAGTGAGTTTTTTTTTAAAGCCTCCCACTCTTTGCATGTACATCCCTCATGTCCCCCCCCCCCAAAAAAAGGGGAAATAAAGAAACTCTTGGCATCACATTGATCTCTTTTTCCTCAGAGAATTATTGACCCAAAGGATTGGGAAATTGCTAAAAATGACCGGTTACAAGATGAGGCAAGATTCTCCCTGGAAACACCACAGCAAGTTTAGATGTGATCGCTTCTCAATAAAGCCCACCATTAAGAAGATTGGTGCTCCTCTGTCTCAAGTCAAGGCATGTTTATGCATAAACAAATGAAGATCAGTGAGATTTTTTTTGTTTCATAGGGAGGGGAAAAAGAGCAAACTCCTCTAGTCTGCCAAGCAGTTTTCTCGGCGTCCAACTGTCATCAGTGCAAATTGGACAGTTGCTTATTTACAAGTCTGTGGTCCTGTGAGGCCTAAGGAGTCGTTCTCCGGGTGCAAGCGCATGCAGAGCATGAACTAGCAGTTCTTCTCACATGCACCTATACAGATGGATTCCGGGTCCAAACTCCAGACCAGCCTTTCTCACCTGGGGCTCCCCAGAACTCCAGAGTGCCCTGGCAGGTTACTGGCATTTCATGAGAGATTGTGGGGTCTCCCTCAAACACACACACTAAACATCATGTTTTCACCTCCATATTCATAGGATAAACACACATACAAGCTATTGCCTGAGGAGCCCTTTGGCTTGCCCTGGGAACAGATGGGAGAGGCCAGGGAAAGGTCCCACCGATAAGGGGAGGGGCCGGGGCAGGACCC